TATTTATTTTATATTATTTTTATAACATCTATTTTAATGTTTCAGACTGATAGAAAACAGGAAATAGGATTAATCTCCAGTCAAAAATATCTAAAATAAGAAAACAAGCTGGCATCTAAATACTTTTGCAACCTGAGCAAAAACACATCAGACAATTCCCCCTTAAATAACTGAGTTCTGTGGTAAATATCAGATTATTAAATCACCGGATGTAAAATAAATGCGTTTGTGTTTGTATTGTGTTTGTATTCTGAGTGAAAACAGGCTGAGTTTTTAAGTAAAGACGTGATAAAATCGTCCTCATTGATCCAGAACGAGCAGATAAACGTTCAGAAAAAACGACTTCAGACCAGAAACGAGGCAAAAAGCACACAGAGGGAGAGACGAATACATTTAATGTGCATTTAGTCCATCTGATTCTTGGCACTTTGAGGGTTTTTTCCAGATAGATCGTGAATATCTGGATCCTGATACTGGAACTAGTCAAATGTGATGATCAATAAGCGCTAAAAAAATATAGGAATTCATGGCTTTTCTCAGCTAAGGCTGACGGAGACATTAGACCAAAAACTCTCTCTATATGTTCAGTCTCAGTTCATGTCCTGTTTCCAGTTTCACAACTTTGGTCAGAAATCGGATGATTCAGGGAGCTAAAGAGCTCCGAGAAGATACGAGAAGGTCGATCTGTAGCTTAAAAATGAACTAAAACCGAAGAAAATAAAACACACGTCAATAAGCTGTGAATAATTAGCCGATAAAATAAGAATATAAGTGATCCGATAAGCGTAGAAAACAGTTCAAATACGACCAGGTGCTGTAAACAGGAGTCATGGGGCTCCACAAGAGGCTCCTCATGGGGCTTCTAAGGCTCCTAATGAGGCTTTTCATGGGGCTCCTCATGGGACTCTTTGTGGGGCTTCTCAGGCTCCTTGTGGGTTTCCTCATGGGGCTCCTCATGGGGATCCTCAGGCTCTTTGTGGGGCTCCACATGGGGCTCCTCGTTTGGCTCCTCATGAGGCTTCTAAGGCTCCTCATGGGGCTCCTTATAGGGCTCCTCATGGGGCTCCTTATAGGGCTCCTTATAGGGCTCCTCATGGGGCTCTTTTTTGAGGCTTCTCAGGTTCCTTGTTAAGCTCCTCATGGGGTTCCCCATGGGGCTTCTAAGGCTCCATGTGGGGCTCCTCATGGGGCTACTCAGGCTCCTCATGGGGCTCCTCATTGGGCTTCAAAGGCTCCTTATGGGGCTCCTATAGGGGCTCCCCATGTTGCTCCTCATGGGGCTCCTCATGGGGCTCCTCATGGTGCTCATTAGTTTCCTCATGGGGCTCTTCGTGCGGCTCCTCATGAGGCTACTCAGGTTCCTTGTGGGGGTCCTCATGGGGCTTCTAAGGCTCCTCATGGTGCTCCTCTTGGGGCTCCTCAGGCTCCTCATGGGGCTCCTCATGGGACTCTTTGTGGGGCTCCTCAGGCTCATCGTGAAGCTCCTGATGGGGCTCCTCAAGTTCCTCGTGGGGTTCCTCAGGCTCCTTGTGAAGCTCCTTGTGGGGCTCCTCATGGTGCTCATTAGGCTCCACATGGGGCTCCTCAGGCTCTTTGTGGGATTCCCTCATGGGGCTCCTTGTGGGGCTCCTCATGGGGCTTCTAATAGTCCTCATGGGGCTCCTTGTGGGGCTCCTGCTGCCACCTGAGGACGTCTAACACCTTGAAAACCTACAAACTGCCCCCTGAGTCTCAGGCGTTCACCTTTTAATAGCATTTGGGTCTAAAGTCCCTCTCTGCTCCAGACTCCGGGGGTCGGGTCGAGGGTTCGGGTCTGGGCTGAGGATTCTCAGAGTCTCTGCGTGCCTCTCAGGTCTAATGTGGGATCTCCTGCTCTGCTGCCTCCTCTTTAACACAGCCGTCCCCCCCCAGCTGCACCTCCTCCTCCTCCTCCTGAAACACAGCAGCATCAGAACAGAGATTATAAAGTACTGGAGTAGAAGTACAAATACCATATAAAAAAATTGACTTGAGTAAAAGTTGAAGTATTCTTTCAACTCCATACTTACAGTGGGGGAAATAAGTATTTGACCCCTTGCTGATTTTGCAGGTTTGCCCACTTACAAAGAATGC